ATGGATCTTTGCAAATGGGTCCTGGTAGGAAAGAGGTTGAGAACCGCTGGCCTAGCACATGGGCGCAAGGTAGATGTGCCCTGGGTGGGGAAGTGATATAGAACTGTACTGCCTCCAGCTGTTCTACAGCTCTAGTGCCCACGTGTGTTGGTTGCGTGTGCTTCAGAGCGGCATTGTTGCACAGTATTGAAAAGGGACTCTGGTGGCAGGTATTCAGGATTTAGAAAGCAGTTCAGGCAGCCTGGCCCTTTGCTGAGGAGCTTGTTCCTGGGCCGTGAAATAATCTGCCTTGTTTTGGGGGGAACCCGCGTCTTCATTTCCCAGTTTCTTTAGCCCCCTTTTAAGATGGGGTTTAACCATAATTTGCAAAAGACTAACAAAACAGTTAAATTCTTAGTCGCTCCTTAGAGGTCTGTGTTATTCTCAGTGTCTCTTTACTAGTGTAGAAATAATGCTTTAGGACATCAGCTCCTATCTGTGAGTAGATGAAACTGATTGTGTGAGAGAGACTAAGATTTATCTGCATTCTGTTGCTCTTTATAAAAGTCAGCATTTTAGCTTTTTCCTGTCTATTTGTTGTGGTTTGCATGTGCTGAACCGAAAGGGAAATGAATCAATGTTCTGTTGGTTTCTGTTAGCCACCTTGTTTCTTGTAGCTAGGGATACTACACATGCAGTCTAGACTCTACCAGTCTCCTCTTCCTTGACTGCTTCGTTGGAGGAATATTGTTCCATATCTATGCTCGTACGTTCTTTACGTTTTCTCCAGCAATGTCATTTGCTTTCTAGTAACTCTTTAGCCAAATGTTTCGTTCCTCCTTTTCTTATTTTCCTCTGTAAAACTGTTTGCGGTATTTACCTCCCTCGTTCCTTTTATTCGTGTGGCTTTTTTCCCCATACCTTATCTACAGTGCTCCGTTTTTATTAAGTATGATGCAACCTTGTTAGAGATGTCCCAAAATTGCAGAAAACAGCAAAGATTCTGAAGCCAAGAAGTTGGCGAGATGCAAAGAGAAATTGAGTGTTTATACAGCTTTCTCATATATGAAGTCTTAAAAGGGAGGTAAAACCTCATGCTTTAGGTCATAAAGCTAGTCTCTGAGAATTAAGAGTTGAGGGACAGATTGTCCCACATCTGCCCAGTACAGTGTTTCTTGCTTATTCATGTAGGGCTGTCTTTTTTATAAATACAGGATTAGATGGACCATACAATTCCTATATAGACGTTACACGTTAAATTGACTAATAAAGTCAGAGGCTGTATAGTACAGGAGTAGATTAACCCTGATTAAATCCTGTGGCCTTGGGCTAATTTAATATTAATATCGATCCTAGGCAAGCTGTTCGAGAAAATTATTCTGGCACACATCCAGGAGGGGCCAGCGGGGGACTGCATGCTTAGGGGCAACCAGCACGGGTTCCTCAGTGGCAGGTCCTGTCAGACCAACCTGGTGGCCTTTTACGATCAGATCACCAGATCATTAGATGCAGGGGTAGCAGTGGACACAGTCTTCTTGGACTTCCGGAAGGATTTTGACACTCTCTCTCACCCCGTTCTCATTAAGAAACTGGGGGGCTGTGGCGTAGACTCCCACACAGTCAAATGAGTCGCCAGCTGGCTGGAGGGCCGCACCCAGAGGGTGGTAGTGGTTGGGTCCTTCTCAGCCTGGAAGGACGTGGGCAGTGGGGTGCCGCAGGGCTCGGTCCTCGGGCCCGCACTGTTCAACATCTTCATCAGTGATTTGGACGAGGGGGTAAAAAGCACC